ATTAAAGTCTTCAAGTGAGAAATCTTCTCGTCTGAGCTCAAATCGGGAGAGTTAAACGTGTTGGAAATGACATATTCTGGGCACTTAAGCTTCCGGGCAAAGGAGACATACGATTCTAAAAGAGTCTTAGGGCTTTCAGCATTTACTGTCATTACAAAGGATGTAGAATGTGGGATTTCATTAACTTGATCGAAGACTCTTTTCGATACGAGACCAGCTAACTGAGATTTGCCACTTCCTGGATTGCCAGAGATGTAAAAGTAACTCAATCTGTTCTTGTTGGCCTCTTTGAGGTCTTTCAACTGCTTTATAATTTCAGCCACCTCAAGATCACGATCTGCAACTTCGTGTGTAGGTTTAGGCGGGAGGACGCAGAAGGCAGAAATATCTTTGTTTAGTTGAGCTTCGAACACCTCTACTTCCTGTTTTAGGTCCTCAACCCTTTTCTTCTTCAATTCCTCGGTGGGGAAGCTTGTCTGATTTTGAATCGCTTGAATTTGGTCTGTGGAGAGGCCAAGAGCTCGGAAGGACACGTCAACATTCTTGATTGCAATTTGAAACTCTGTATCTGAGAGATTGCCATGTGGCATGCTTGATAAATATTTGTTACGGAACTTTCTAAGATCCTCCACTATTGATTTTCTTCTTAAATTCAGACCACTCCCGATACAATCGGAGAAAAGGATGGCGTGAAACAGCATGGTGCAATCCCATTCAGCTCTGTTTCCGTTGACCATGGTGGCCAGTAGACCCGTGCGTGCCCTTTGTTTGCGCGGAGATTCACTGTTCTTGAAGTCCAGACCATTTTGTGGCTCGTCTTTCCACTCACCTAACGTTGTCTTGTAACGACCATCCCATTCCTGTTTAAAGATTGCTCGCAGACCCTCGGCAATGATATTAGTGACGAGATGGCAGACACGGAAATAGTTCAGCTGTTCGTTGGTGTATTCTGGAGCAGTGGCCATGTAAAGCTTGAATGAGAAAAAATTGAATATAGTAGGATATCTATTGCCATGCAGGTAAATTATAAAGTGCTTTAGCCAAGTTTAAGGGACGATTCTTAATTAAGAGCTTGAAGGAGCGGAGGACATGGGAGAGGAGAGAGAAGGGGTTGGTCGGACTTCGGTTGTGTCATGATCTGCATGATGTCTGTGCGATACCTCACGCGAGGCTAAACCGAAACCAGGGATATCACACATTTAAGTAACATTCTTGCTCGTCTCACTTTGTTAAACTAGATAATTAGCCAATCCAAGACCAGGCCTTACTTGGTCTTCTATTGGGTCAGTAAAGGGGGAAAGGGTAAACTTTGCTGGACAGGATATCGTTTTCATTTAAATTCTGACGCGTAATTGCAGTCTAATTTGACAACCACCTGGTCAATTTCGTGAAAAGCATGAACTACCGTAAACTACCTATTATAAACCCTAAGCTTTTGCAACTTCCTAAGGAGCTTTAGGGCCTATAAACTAAAGAACTGGAATAGAAAAAACCCATCGAGACGAGCTACATGACTGCTGATCAAAATACGCTTTGCATTTACTGGTTCTTAATTATAAGCTTTAAAACTTCATGATCAATCGAATTTAGGGGCCGACCATTTAACTTTTGAAGGGGGGTGGGTGATTTCTGGTCGTCAAGAATTTTTTTCTAGCAATCTGCTGGGAAGGATATTTTCCGTTCTAAATGCTCTTTTTTTTCTCCCACATTTGGAGTGCCTGCAATTTTTTTCTTCCAACAAGCGCTTGGAGGAAATTTATTTTTCAAAATCACCCACCCCCCTCCCCTCAAGAATTAAATGGTCGGCCCCTTATTCCAGTACATTTAGAACAGAACTAAAGCTAACAACACGAATGAAACCGGAAAGTAACAAACCGGAATTTTAGACTTTCCCCTCAAAGTTCATCTTCGAAAATTAAAAACAAATAATAAAATTGTTGTTCCGAAAAATTTTTTTTCAAATTCCAGTTTTAATTAGTAGAGTTCCCGTCTCTAAAAACAAGAGAAGACAGACGGAGGCGTATACACGGCGGGGGGGGGGTTATAATCGATATAATCGGTCTATAGACGGCGACAAAGGCGTCGACGTTCATGCACCTCAGCAGAGGAGAAGGATCCAAGATTTCTTTTTGCTTATTTGAATGCCCACTGTTACTAAAATTTCCTTTCCGAAGTACTAAAACAAAGCTTCATATTTTACCATATAAAAAAAATTTGAAGTAAATTTTGCCACATCATATGTTTTTTTTGACAAGTCCTTTGAATTATAGCTTTGTATAATCCCGCTTACAAATGATATACTTAGTAAACAAACAATATTATAGTTTTACAGCACACAAACTGTTCTTTAAACTATTTCAGGGACTGATGTATATTTATTGCTTATCGCGGGGGGAGTGGGGGAACGGAGAATACTAGTTGCGTACGATAAAAATTTACCTAACTGCCCGTCCCCGGGCTCATTAATATTCAAATAACATCCCTTTATTTGCAGTTTGTAGGCAGTCAATTCTCTATAATTTGGTTGTATCAAATAAGTTGAAATTGTAAATTGGCCACCGTAAAGAGCTAAAAAGCTGACGTTTCGAGCGTGAGCTCTTCGTCAGGGCGAAAGAAGGAATTGTGGGTTGTCTGTGTGTTTATATGCAGAAAGTAGAGCTACGCCTTTGGTGGGAACATGATGACGAGAAAAACACGAATGAAGTAGTAGAATGAAAAGCATTCGTTGACACCTATGGGATTGAGAGTGCCGATTTGAAAGATAAACTTTTGTTCAAGAGTTTTGCGGCTTTCCGAGCTACCTAAATGTAAGGAAAGACCGCAGATTGCTTAGAATGATTAGGTAAGTTATAGTGTCTAGCGACTGGTTTTGATGCGTCCTTGCCATTCCTTTCTAAGTCGCGAAGGTGTTCTTAGAATTGGTCTCCTAGTCGTCTTCCTGTTTCGCCGATGCATATCTTTTTACAATAAATGCAAGTTGTGTATGCAATAGATGACGTTGGCAGAGGTGCTCGTGAAGTGATCNGCGTACGATAAAAATTTACCTAACTCCCCGTCCCCAGGCTCATTAATATTCAAATAACATCCCTTTATTTGCAGTTTGTAGGCAGTCAATTCTCTATAATTTGGTTGTATCAAATAAGTTGAAATTGTAAATTGGCCACCGTAAAGAGCTAAAAAGCTGACGTTTCGAGCGTGAGCTCTTCGTCAGGGCGAAAGAAGGTATTGTGGGTTGTGTGTGGGTTTATATGCAGAAAGTGGAGCTATGCTATTGGTGGGAACATGGTGACGAGAAGAACATGAATGAAGTAGTAGAATGAAAAGCATTCGTTGACACCTATGGAATTGAGAGTGCCGATTTGAAAGATAAACTTTTGTTCAAGAGTTTTGCGGCTTTCCGAGCTACCTAAATGTAAGGAAACACCGCAGATTGCTTAGAATGATTAGGTAAATTATAGTGTCTAGCGACTGGTTTTGATGCGTCCTTGCCATTCCTTTCTAAGTCGCGAAGTTGTTCTTGGAATCGGTCTCTTAGTCGTCCACCTGTTTCGCCGATGCATATCTTTTTACAATAACTGCAAGTTGTATATGCTATAGATTACATTGGCGGAGGTGCTCGTGAAGTGATCAGTGATCTTAATGGATTGTTTGGGTCCCGATATTTTCTCAGCGTTGTGAATGAAAGGACAAGTTTTGCATCGTGCGCGAGTGCATTCAAAAGTGCCGGGTTGGTCACTAGTTTGGAAAGAACTCCTGACCAAAAAATTGCCCGTGTTTTTGTCGTGTTTGAATGAAATGAGTGGAAAAGATAGTGCCAGTCTCTGGATCGTTTTGAAGTAATTTAAAGTTTTTTTATAATAAATATATCTTATCAGACGCTTTGTTGTGTAGTATCGCTGATCATTATCCAACTACATCTAGACGAGTGCGAATAACGCCATAGACGAGTACAAATATCACGCGGTATTTGTACTCGTCTATTGTAGTACTGGTTAAACTGGTTTTCTTGCATCCTGCAAGTTAAGAATTGGATTGTAGTTACAAAAAAAAAAAATGGTGGCGGACAATTTCAATCATATTTCCGACGACGAAGAGTCAGAATGGCTGGAAAATATAGATCCAAGTTCATTTGATGAATCGAACGAAGAAAAACAGCTTGACGACCCAGAAAATTTCTTCATTT